GAACATCGAGATGCACAGCCTACTGCTCATGTGCACGTCTGTATGAGCTTAATTTAATATTCAACATATATATCAGAAGAAACATGTGTCAGGTATAGACATGTTATATAAAAATTTCTTCCTAAACAACTAGATAGAGCTGGCCAGATAGCTCAGCAGAGTAAAGCACCTGCTTAGGCAGGCGCAGGGACCAGCGGAGCAGGCCCCGCCCCCAGGACGCGCTGAGACAGCGAGGGAGACTGGGCGTGGTGGAGCACTGCCTGTAATCCCAGCACTTGGGAGGCTGAAAACAGGAGAATCACTACGGGTGCGATCTGTGTAGTGAGATCCTGTAGATCCTGTACTAAACTAAAAAAAAAAAAAAAAAAAAAAAAATTAGACAAAAATTGAGCAATACACTGGATTCCGACTGGATACAATGCAATTATGGGATTTCATGTAGGTGGAGGGAGACTTATTCAGATGTCTCTGGTTGCCAGAGCATTAAGATTTTACCTTCATATTCCAGGTTACTACCATTCCTATAACCCAAATACTTTCTTCTTTTCTTCTTTCTTTTTTTGGTCCCGGCAATCAAACTCAGGACCTTGCACTCACCAGGCAGGCATGTGCCACTGAGCTATATCTCAGCTCTTAATTACTTTCACAGAGCAACATAAACTGACAGGGTTTGATAAAATAAAGATTACAGGGTTTTTTTGTTTGTTTTTTTATTTTGCGGAACCGGGGATTGAACTCAGGCCCTTGCACTTGCCAGGCATGCACTTATTCTACTGAGCTATCTCTCCGGCCCAAAGATTACAGGTTTACAAAGAAAAATAAAACTTGAATTTTAATGGAATAAAGTTCTCTGTTACAGTGAGCTCCATGTGATTTACTATGCTTTTAATTTTTCTAACTAGTCACTGTTAAAACCCTTATTAAGTAATATCTTGGCTTGGTCATCTCTAAGCCTGGTGCAATTAATTTTTTTTTTTAAAGTTCCCCATTGATTAGTTTCACATTGCAGTGAAGATTCCAACCAAAATGAGATCTGGTTCACTTCAAAGTAAAGACTGAATTTAGTAAAGGAGAAAAAGCCCTTCTATGGGAGGTTACAGCCCATGGGTTAATCCAGAAAGGTCTGGTGGGCTTAGCTGTAGATAGGGAAAGGAATCTAGCTGCGTCTTGAAAACATTTTTATGTGCGCAAGCTGGGCCACGCTTATCTCAGGGCTCTCTAATTGGATGCTGTAAGTGAGGCACTTGTGTAAGCTCTGGTGGAAGAAGGAAGGACAGAAGGAAGCAGAACAAGATGGCTTGCAGGGAGGGAAATGAAACAACTGAGGGTTGCTAAAACTCGAAGTATCGCTTATTTGAAATCAAGTTGGGCTGGGGAGATGGCTCAGTGGAATAAGTGCTTCCCTGGCAAGTGCAAGGGCCTGAGTTCGATCCCCGGTTCCGGAAAGAAAAAAAAAGAAAAAGAAAAAAGAAAGAAATCAAGTCATATAATTGCATTCTGGCCAGCTGGAACCTACTGTACTGCATAAGTTTGGTCTAACTGCTCTAACAACCTTTCTTACAGAGAAATAGAATCTGCTCAACCTTAGATCATCTGCTAGTGGACATACTAAATTGCTGTAGCTTTGGAAACTGTTTAAGGCACAGTGGTCTTTCAAATACTGTTTACCTTTTTTTTTTGGAACTAGGGATTGAACTCAGGCCCCTTACGCTTGCCAGAGAAGTGCTTATTCCACTGAGCCATCTCCCCAGCCAACAAAGTGGAGATGGCTCACATATCTTAATTTTTTTTTTTTTTGGTGGAACCCGGGATTGAACTCAGGCCCTTGCGCTTGCCAGGGAAGTGCTTATTCCACTGAACCATCTCCCTGGCCCCTAATGGTTTTAATTTTTTTTTTTTTTTTTTTTGCAGTACCAGGGATTGAACTCAGTACTTCGCACTTGCCAGGCAAATGCTTATTCTACTGAGCTATCTCCCCAGCTTGTTTACCCTTTAAACTAACAATGTTTTTTTGTTTTGTTTTGGGTGGAACCCGGGATTGAAATCAGACCCTAGGCTTGCCAGGGAAGCGCTTATTCCACTGAGCCATCTCCCCAGCCCCAAAGTAACAATGTTTTAAGAAGCACAGGACATTGTATGTCTACTTGCATTACAGCACTAGTTCCACATTCATTCCCCTTATCAGTACTCCAGATCTGAGCCTATATCAAAGGTGGGTGTGGTGGCGCACGCCTGTGATCCCAGCACTCAGGAGGCTGAGGCAGGAGGATCTTTGCAAGTTTCAGACTGGCCTGAGTTACAAAGTGAGCTCAAGGCCAGCCTGACCTGTACAGTGAGACCCCCCCACCTCAAAAAAAAAAAGAAAAAACAAACAAAAAAGACTATATCAATAACGCAGTATGAAAAAGGAAATTTGGCAAATATTAGATTTATTCAATTGCTGTGGTGGCTTAAGCCAATTCACACAGCACCAGAATATGTGTGTGTGTGTGTGTGTATA